GGGGGAGGTCGATGCTGTGAGAAGCTGTGGTGGTAAAACCCGGCACCAAAAGTACCTGCTGTGTCCTTTCCCCAAAAGAGAGAGGTTAGTGCTGACTGTGGAAAACCTGGAAACGGTTACATGTGAGACGAGGTGCTGTTATTAGATCTGCCGAGATGAGATAAGGTATTGCTGCTGCTGGTCTTTAATTCTCCCTCTCTGTGCAGCAAAACAAAACTGGAACACTTCTAATAGAGAAGTGGTGGAAATTTTTGTTTTAAAAGGCAATACAACTGAGTTTGGATACATACCAAGAAATGTATTTCTGTAAATAGGCCGGAATGTTCACATGAAGTGTAAATGAAATGGTAAGTAGAACAACAGTCTTATCTGTGTACGAGAGACAGACACGCACTAGGTAAGAACTGTAAATATGTCTCTTCTAACCAGTAGTTTGCTAATTTGTGTAATAGTCTACCAAGCCTGGGTATCTTATCCACCTCCTGTGAGTGTTTTGGAACTGGAGCAGAGATGCTTTGCAGCGGATTGTCATAAACATAATTACCTTTTAAGTCACCCTTTTGTTGTTTCATTTTAATAGCCAAGCTTTTCAAAGCCAAACAAAACCCATTGCCTTGTCTTTACCATCAGAGCAGAAGAGTGGCAGGGATATCTCCTGGCTCTCATTTCGGTCTTGCTGTGTAGCCTTGGATAAAGTCAATTAAAGTTTTCTTCTTTCAGTGCGTCCTATTGGCAGTGTGAAGTGTGGAGCTTCAAGTTGTCGTGTGTTGTTTTTTATATACGTTTATGTTCTTAGCTGGTTCATGTAGGTTCAGTAGGAGTAAAACTTACCTGCTTTTCTTGAAGGATTAGACACTCAATTAGGGTTTAACCAGTACTTTTCATGCTTTATAAACGTGTATTTTAAACAACCGGTCTCTATACTTGCTGTTTAAAGGATATAATTCATGTTCTGTTTTTCTCCTTTTGTCCCCTTCGTCATAAACTCCCATCCAGTGACAACCCGAGTGTTTTCCTTTCTCCGCAGATGTCATCTGGGTGATCCTCAGCGTGGAAGTTGGAGGACTTCTAGGTGTAACACAGCAGCTGTCGTCCTTTGAAACAGAGTTCAACACGCAACCGCACCGCAAGGTAGAAGGAAACTTTAACCCATTCGCCTCTCCACAGAAGAACAGGCAACCAGATGAAAACAACCTAAAAGACCCTGGGGGTTCCGAGCTAGGCACAATCAGCAAAAACACATGGGGGCCTGCTCCTGACCAAATCGAACAAGATCAGAATGGACTGTCACAAAACTCTGTAAATCTCTCCCCCAGCAGTCACTCGAACAACTTGTCGGTAGTGACGTACAGTAAGGTAGGTGCCCTGGGAGAACAGGAGAACGGGTAGGTGCTGAGACCGGGAGGTGTGTCATAGTTCTTCGTTCCAAACTGCAAAGCCCTTCCCTTCTGCTTCTGCCAGACCTGCTAAGGAAGGTTTTCAATTTGACTGTCTGACTCTGCCAACTCCTCATGTTATATTAAAACACGTTTGCCTCTGATAGACTCTACCAGATCCACCTTTTCGTTTTTGCTTCAAGTCCTTCTTAAAATTTATATAATCTTGTCTGGGTGCTGTAACTATCAGTGGCTGGAGCCTGCTCCGGTTGCGTGTGCAAATAAGTCAAAATATCTCTCTAGATCGAACAGAATTTTGAAAAGAGGGAAAAATAACCACACCCCCAAGCCCTAAGATCAAGCAGATGACTTCTTTTTAGCTGGTGTGGGGAGATTACAGAGCTCAACGTTTTGATCCCAGCAGCCGCCTGTCAGGAGCGGTCCATCAAAGGGCTGTTCCTGTCTGTGCCCTTGTCTTGTTCATAATTGTCGGTGACTTTTAAATTCTCTTCACTTTAAATCTCTCTCAAAAGCTTGCTCGGTGGATGCTTTATGAGTCTGAGTGATATTTTGACTGTTTCTATTTGCTTGTGTGTGAAAAATTGAATTGCAGGATTATTTACAATTCAGAATCCACCTGTTAATGCAGCCAGTATGTGTAGGTGTGTACTGTCGTATGTCAAACTAGTTTGATTTTTAAAATCCTTTGAAAATGCTTCACTGTACTTTAAGCAGGCTGTGTAGGACAATAACACTTGGTTGCTGAATGACTTAATAAAGCCCTAATGTTAGTTCACCCACAGCACTTCAGTTCCTAACTGGCTGAACTGCCTGTCCTCTACCAGTGGATCATATTTTAGTGCCCTACTTTGCACCAGGGCTATGCATTTGATTTTTTTACTGATGGCATGCACGGGATGAACTGTTTGACAGACCACCCATCGCCCTGGTTTGTGTTCTGCACCCCAAACATCCACTGCTATCAGCTGCATTGGCTCCTGCTTCAAGATTCCCGCTCACTAAAAGTGAAATGGATGGTGTAGGAAAGTACTAAATAAAATAAAGCCTTTCACCTATCAGTTCAAATACAACCTGAATTAGTGACTGAAAGCCACTGCCTTTTAGGTGTTGCTTGGTGGGCAGTGGTGTTCCCTGAAGAGAGAGGCTGTCTGACTGCAGAAGCTGTCTCTGTACTGATAGAGCTCTGCACAAACTTGATTTCAGGTGGGCAGTGCTGTTCTGGGGCTGGCTGTGGTACATATCCCAGCAAAGATTGGTCTGTGCATCAGTTGATGAAAAATAAACATCAGTTACTAAGTACAGCCTTGGTGAGACTTGTACAACCCTTTCATAGCTAAAATACTCGGTTTCATTTAGGTGGGAAAACTCAGTTCCACTTCTGGTGATCAGCTTTAGGCTGGAGGTGTTTGGTTTTGGTGGTTTGTTTTTTTTTCCTTTGCCTGTTTTCTGAGTGCAGAGCTTGGCAGTTCCTTCGCAGTTGATTTGCACTTGCAGGTGGGCAGATGTGCAACTGCTGATCCGTGCACTTGTGAGTGGGTTCCCCTGTAGAAATTCTGGTGTGGGGCTTTGGCAGTGACGTGGTCTTTGGCTTTCACCGGGTCTCTCCTGTGGCGTTTCCTTACCCTCCTTTGTGAGAGGAGAGCGGTGGGCACAGGAAGGTGACGGTGAGGGTACCACCAGGAGGTGATGGGTACCGCCAGGAGGTGAGGGTACCACCGGGCTCTCGTGGTCAAGGAGCAGATGCTTTGGCTTTTCTAAGGAAGAACACAGGTGTAAGAAACCAATAGCTAAGGGATGTGCAGAGGACATAGCGATACAGTGGAAAAGAAAAGCCAAAAACAAGGAGAGTGAAGCATTACCAGAGAGGATTTCACTAAATTTCAAGTAAGCTGGTTTAGCTGATAACCCCAAGTCCTCTGTCAGTACTCTTATGAGGTGTGAGCCATTACAATCTAACCTCGGAGGTAAGGGAGGTGACCTTTTTTGCCCTTGTTTTGCAGTTTTGTTTCTTTTTGTATTTACAGAATATTCTTGGGTGGATTTGAGGTAGATCATATGAGATAAAAGCAGAAATTCTGTTTCTTTGCTTGAGAAGGGATAACTTCAGGGCCCTTTTTTGGAGATGGGATAGGGTCTGTGAAAGTTCATTGATTTTATTTTTTGATTATTTTTTTGTCTCTACTACAGTGTTTCTGTTTGACATAATAAAATAAGCTAACTTTTCCTTTGGAGACCATTATGAAGGTAGATCTGAGGAGCAGAGTCCTGTTCCAGCCTGTCCAGGGGCAGGAGGCCACAGTCTTGATACTCACATTGGTACAGCACTTTCTGTAGCAAGCAAGTTTGAGTAGGTTTGACATCCAAGATGCTTGGTCTCGTTTAAAATCACCAGGTAAACACGCTCACCTTCCCTGGTTTAGGTCTAGCACTCTTGCATGCTTGCTTCCTGCAATCTGGAAAAGAAGATACCTATTTATTTTCTAAAAAAGAGGTGATGTGTAAGCAGTATTCCCAGCTGGGGCTCGGATTAAGTGGAAAAGGGCTTCTCGGAGGCGATGTCAGAAGTATTAAACCACCCGGTCAGCAGATGGTGTTCCTGTACCTGTGAGGAAAAGCTGTGTCTGGCCCATCGTCCCCAATTCCCTGGGGACCTGACCTGTGCTCTGCTGCTTGAGAAGGGGAAAGAAAACTGCTGCGTTTGTTGTCTTGTGATTGACTATTGACGTGAAAGGCTTTATTTCGAGTTCTGGGAGCAGACAGAGAGGGCTGTGGGTCAGTTATGGAGTTGGATGTTATGATACCTGGATATTATTTATCATGGGCAGCACCTCTGAAATTGTTGTGTGCTTTTATGTATCCAGAGAAGGGAGTGAATCTTGAGTTGTTTGATGCAGTATTTGGTGAGATACAGCAGAGGGGATGGGTGAGGTCTAGTTAAGGTGTTCAGAAGGGCCTGTGTTCTGTATTAGAAGTAATAAAGCCCTTAAACATTTCTCAGATCATTGTGGAGGCTTCCTCTCTGCCAAGAGATGGTGAAGAGCCCAAATCATGCAGCTGCATGACACCGTGAAACCTCACAGATAAAACTCGCAGTTCCTGGCATCTGCAGCTGTAAAACTTACCTGAGGTTGCCAGACCTTGTCTGTATTTGTTCTGCCTCTGGTGCAGCTGAGCAGGTGTGACTTGTCCTCTGAAACTCCCCGTGGAGTCAGGATCTCGGTGACACTGAGGTGCCATCTGCTGCTGCATTAGACAAACACATCAATTCACACCTGGAAACGTTCAAAATGCGGATGCTCTGCTCAACGAGACAACCTTTCCTAGGAAAAACAAACACCGAATTCCCTAGAAGCAGATGAGATGAGAAGGTTGAAACAAGCACAATATGATCTTTATTCCTGCT